GCATGATCAGTCAAGTTTTTACTATCACCTGCGCCCCCCCATCGGGGTCATTTCCTGTCGGGACAGGAAGTGATGGAAAATCTGTAATGGGGAGCCCCGGACAGGAATTTTGGGTGACCTCATCTCACCCCGGAGGTTGTCCACGTGCGATCTCTGTAGGAATGCGAGTTTTGCGGCATTCCTCAGATGCTCGGCGTGTGAGCTCACGGCTGTCATACGATATCCCAGGAATGTTGTCAGCTGGTGACGGGAGTCTATGAATGGGCGTGAGCGGCGTGTGTCATGAGGAATTCCTCGCGCGGGAGGAATAGTGAACACGCGCGAGGCCCGCGCAGGAAATGATCCGCCGAGGTCTGCACAATCTTCACGCTGTGGCCTACAGCTAATATAAATACATCGCCCCCCTGTGTTCCCTGTACAGCCAATCAGAGCTCTCTCTGCTTTTAAATTTGTCTTCCGCTTGCACCCTGGTCACATCACTCTGCCGCACTCGCTCTGTTCATGGTGGTGTATAGCTCAGGCCCCGCCCCCAGTTCCATTTCTTTTTAAAGGACAACTATGAGGGGGGAGGGGGTGCTTTGTTCTAGATAGGCAGAGCCAGCTGTCAGTCACGCAGCTGGGCGGGTCCAGACATAATTGTCGGGATCCGTTTCAGCTGCGGCGTCTCAGTATACGGCGAGCTGTAGCTCCCTATATACTGAGCTTAGGGTGACTGGAGGACGCTAGTTTGTGTCCCCCCGTTACCCTAAGGCCCCATTCACACTGAGCGATTTATCGCGCATATTTGCCGCGCGATATCGCTCTCCAATGCATGGCAATGGGGCTCTGTTCGTCGCGGGTCGTGCGTCGCTACAACAGGACCCTTTTTGGAGCGGATTTCGGCGCGATTCTACTTTGCTCAATGCAACCATTTGCGCGATGTCGCGCAAAATGCAAATCGCCCGATTTGCGATACGCTCAGTGTGAATGGGGCCTAAGGAGAACTATGGGGAAAAGCCCTGACCCCATAGTTCTCCTTTTAATATTGTTACATTGTATTTATTAATGATGTCCACTAGACACGTGCACTGGCAAAAAGTTTGTTTCGTTTTGATTCGGATTTTGCGTTGTTTCGGGTCCAAAAGTCAATTCGTTTCGGAATTTGGATCCGATTCCAACATTCGTTAGCGGTAGTCTGTACGAAATTTCGTTTTTGGTCGTTGCAGCAAAGTAACATTTAGGCCTCGTTCACACCTAGGCGTATTGCATATGCGCGTCTGTCGCGCGTTTTTTTACCGCGATTCGCGGTAAAAAAGTCACGCAACCGTCGAGCGTTTCCGAAGGCTACTTGGCTGTATCCCGATGGAAACGCCTTACAAAACGGCCCAAAGTAGTACCGGGACCTTTTCAGGCGTGGGCCGTTTTGTAACGCGTTAGGGACGGGCGGAAATACGCCGAGGTGGGAACGAGACCCATTGAATACAATGGGATTTAGATGTTTGAGAGCGTTTTGTAGAGCGTTCGTCGAGCGTAGAACGCGCTACAAAACGTTCAGGTGTGAACGAGGGCTTAAGAGGGAGGGAGAAAAAAATAATTCCCTCAAGTGTCACTTTGCTGCAACGAAATTTTGTCCAACAAACGGAATTTCGCACAGACTACCGCTAACGGATTTCGGAAGTTCGGATTCGTTTGCATTCGTTATAGCTGTCATTTGGAATTCTGATGCATCCGAATTTCCGGAACGAAACGCATGGCAGATGTCTAATGTCCACGAGCACTCTTTTACAGAAGAGTCTTCCTCCTGAGCACGGAGTGAGATCTGGCGGCAGAGGAGTACCGGGGTGTATGCGCTACGCCCGTACAGGAAGTCTTTTTAGGGTGTACCTGGTATGCCCATGGTCCTAAACTGGGCGGTCCTTACTGGTCCTCTTATTACATACATTGTACATGTTGGCTGTGCGGGGCATTGGTGCAGAATTTGAGTGGCCCCTATGCTGTGGTTCCCCCATCTCCCCTCCTCCCCCCACCACGTAATTTACGACAGGGGTAGCCGAACGCTGGTCCTCCAGCTGCAGAGAAACTACAAATCCCATGACGCATCTCTCTCCGGGAGTCGTGGCTGTGAGTGAGAATGTTGCAATGCCTCATGGGATTTGTAGTTCCGCCCACAGCTGGAGGACCAGTGTTTGGCTACCCCTGATGTAGGACACACCTCCTGACTCTCCAGTCCTGCCCACCCACAAAGGCGCCGTAGCTTTCTCCCGGGATAATAATTTAGGGAAGGTTTTGGCTGAAATGCGTCTCCAGTATTATTAGAGGGGTAACTGACCTGTTTTAAAGAGAACCTGTCATTATAGAAAACACACACAACTGGTATAAGAAGCCTCCGGGCCTGGAGACCAGAAGATGTCTGCGCATGGTTTGTGATGCTTCTCTGGTACCATTTGAGGAGCCCCTAAATCTGGATCCTCTTGGTGTGCAGGTTCTTCAATGCTCTCTATGTTGGGCCCCCCCGGGGGCTCCCCAACATCCCACAATGCAATGCAGGAGTCTCGGTAGATGCTTACGTTGCATTTCGGGATGGGGACACACCACAGTTTAGGGTTTGGAGTTCTTCTACTGAAGGTTTACATAGTCAGGTTGAAAAAAAAAAAAAGACACAAGTCCATCGAGTTCAACCTATAGACGCACACAAGGTGAGCGGGTTTGGAGCGCCGTCGGGGCCCAGT